TTCTCTCCATTCACTAACTTTTCAAATGCTGACTGATACTACCTGGGACACTGGTGTATTCTGGTGTGCACTGTGTCAGTAGTAATGACCCCTTGTGGTGGAAAGCAAATGCCAAAGAGTATTTTTGTGTATGTTCATCATTTGCTTCTCTTGATAACCAGAAAGTACCAGTTTTTCACTAAAGGAACACTTTGTTTCTGCAACTGTCGTTGGTGGGAGATTTCCTTCAAAATAATTTCTTCAGAAAGCATGTATTCCTCCCTGCAAGGCTACAGTTACAAAGTACCACAACCCAAGTGACTGAACACAGCAAGTTTATTCTCTGAGGAGCTCCAGAGTGACAATTCTGATGTCCAGACGTGGCATGGCTGTGATCTTGGAAGGGTCTAAGGCAAGGCCAATCAAGGCTGTGATGAAGACATCTTAAACTCCTGTCTGACTTTGATTTAACTTAATTATATCTGCAAAGGGCTAATTCCCAAATGAGGTCATATACACAGGGTTAGAGGTTCACAATATTTTTTAGGGGAAACACAACTTAACCCATAACACCAAATAATGAAACTGCTGTGGACAGAACATTCAGACAGCACTTAGTGCTAGTTTCCTATGCGCCATGATGTCACCAACTGACAATGCAAAGACTTGTGGCATGGTGGCCAATATTCCATGTGCCTGCCAGAGGGTAGCCGTATCAAGCACTTCTGTCAACACCCTGACCAGAGGAGCTAGTGGAGAACCACTCCTGTCTTACAAATTTTGTCACATGCCTTTGGGAAAATGTTGGATAAGGAGAGAAGGGAACTTGCAGTCATCTCTCGTATTTAGCCATGTGTCAAGATGTAGGCTCTGTTCATGTCACAGGTGTCTCTAACACCAGGTTATATCTTCAAGGAGGTCACACACATACAGCAGAGGTCCTCCCAATCCATCCCGGCTTACTTCAGTGAAGCAGTTGGTAACAGGACTGGCTAAGAGTGACCTGGACAAACTAGGACACTCAGCTGCTCTATCTAGGCTCAGTCCTCAGACCTCCTCTCTTCTCCAGCTGTACCATCTCCTCAGCACTGAGCACTCATAGGGGTATGCCTCCAGCCCAGCGGTTGCCCAAACTCTCAATCCCTAATCCAGTCGTCAATTTCCAGATTCTCATCTCAATTTTCAGTGGTGAGTCACCGCTTAAGATCCTTGGGACAAAACCCTTTAGTCTCTGATTTCTATCAGCTCCCCAACCCCATCTGATTTAGCAGAACACAGAATCCCACACACATCCCCTCCATGGCTACAAGGTCCAACTCAACAGCATCTGCTTCCTGATTGAGGGTCTCCCTACTCCTGTTTTTGATTTCCTAAAATCTTTCACTGTGGCAGCCAGAGGAACGGCGGTAAACCCCAGACAAACACAGCACACTGCTCCACACAGCTGTTCCATGGTCCCCTGCTTTGTGTAGTTTCAAAAGCCAGTCCTGTGGTGGTGGTTGGGGGGGGGGCGGGACTGGAGAGATGGCTCAGCTGTTAAGAGCACTAGCTGCTTTCCAGAGGACCTGGGTTCAATTCCCAGTACCCATATGGCAGCTCACAACTGTCTGTAACTCCAGTTCCAGGGGATCTGACACTCTCATACAAACATACATGCAAGCAAAACCAATAAAACCAACAAACAAATAATTTTTAAAAAGCCAGTCCGCATGTGGTCTCCAAAAGGCCACATGTGACCAGCTACTCCTCGGCTGTTCTCACCTCACTTCCCACAGTTGCCTTTCTTAATTATTCTGCTCTCTGCAGAACTTATTAAAACACACCCCTGCCCCAAGGCCTTTGCTCTCAGCGTCTGTTTCTAGTATCTCCTTCAGGAATGTTGTCAGCGAGACTCCATTATAAAAGCAACGTTCTTTCCCTCTTCACCACTCAATTTCCCACCCCCTCTCCATATGCTACTTTGTTCATCACAATGTATTGCCATGTGATAGACATACAGACTTGATTTTACAAATACATATACAGGAAAATGCACTTAAACTCCTAAGTACAGCTAGATGAGTTTTCTGCAAATAGAACCCACTCATGGGCCCAACAACCAGACCAAGAAAGGCCTGCTACTGGTATCCCCAGAGGCTCATGCAACCATTATTCTAACCTAAACCCGCAGCTTTTCCTGGTCTTGGATTTTATACAAATGACGACATTCAATAGAAGCTCTTTTTCTATGTGGCTTCTGAGAAGCAGCCATGGGGTTGTATGTCACTGTAGGCTGTCCCTTTTACCTGCTGAATAGCCTTCCCTTGAGTAGAACACCCTGTGTTGAACACAGCTGGGACTATGACATGGATTTGGTAACTCATACTATTTAGCTTACGGCAGTCACATAAGCTGCATGGGGCAGAGACTTCCTTCTTCTTTGTTCATGGCCTTGTGTTCCCATTGCCTACTGTAACATTTAGCACATAGTAGGTGTTTGTTGAATGAATGATTGAATGAAATCTTATTTCTTTCTCTTGTTTCATGATTGCAATAGCCATGAGCCAATTCTTCGCTCTCTGTAAAGAACATAAACTCTCTGTGTTTTGCTTTGAATACCAAATATGGACCCTCTGGACAGATAATTAGCTCTTCCACATAGGAAAACTTAGACATAAATGTTACCATCTGGTTGACACATAGTCAGTATATGGTGGCTGTGATCTTAATTCTCTTGCAAGTCCAAAATCAGCAATTTTCACCAGCTCAGGACCCATGCAAAGCAAGTTTTCAGGTTTCATGTCCCTGTGAAAAAAGCCTGTGCGAGCAAGAGAGGAAAAACACAGTAAGTCATCTTGTTTATCATCATCATCATATGACCTTTTGGTTTATATCAATAGAACCGAGCTAGCAGCCTGGGTTAGGAGAGGAGATGGCTCTCTGTGGAAGAAGTAACAGGGCATAGGAACTTGCACACAGCATATAAGATCATTAAAAAATCACTGCCCATTTGACATGTATTTTAGATGTGACTTCGGTAGATGTTTATGAGGGATAGATACAGACACATTGGGACTATCTCCTATTATCTCCACAAGCGTATGGAATTAGGATGTATTGCTGTCACTACTGTGTAACTGACAAGAGTCGGCTGGTCTTGTTCCTGTTGTACACTGTGGCTAAACACAAGCTTCCTTGAGTTTAATCACATATTTGAAAAGTCCATTGGACAAGAGAGCCCCCCACATTTTAAAAAGTTGACTTTTCCCTAAATCTTTAAAATACACAGTAATGAAAATGGTCATTACTATCAACTCAATATTTGAAATAATGGTCAGTTACAGAGGCTAATAATGGGCAGCCCTGAGGAAACGGGCAGGAAAAGGGAAACTGTGAGAGCTCTCCTTGAAAGCCAGCTTTAAGGGGATTCTTCTCTAAGGTGGTCTCAGTGTTGGATTCTGAAGAGCCCACTAGGGAGAAGAACTGTGGTAGGACCAAAGGCATTCTGTGGAGGTTTCAGGCCCAGCTCTCTAAGTGTCAACATTTTAAGTCACTGCCTGTCTTCCAAGTGCAGCAACACCATGACACAAGCCCACACGTCCTTCTACCTAAACTCCCAAATGGCCAGTGATTCTAAACAGTCTCTCATTAACAGCAAACATATTACATTGCTGAGTCAATAATTACCTTAGTTCGACAGGCAAACAAAATCACATAAACTAAAAGTAAATCAGTAAGAGATTCATGGAAAATAAATACCAGCTTCCATTCCACTCAGAGAACAGAAGTAACTAAGTGTGAATGCCAAGGACCACTATGAAACACCACACACAGGCACTGCACATTATTTAAATCCCCGTGGGCAGCCATGCTTGATCAAAGGCTTCTAATTGTGTCCAAGGTTAAGTTTGGAGGGAAGAGCATCACTGAGAGAACAGAAAGGGAGCAGATCCCCCAGGGCCAGCCTGGTCCAGAAAGCATCCCCCACACAGAAGAAAAAATAACAACAACAACAAATACCAGACAAACAAAACAAAACAAAAATACATAAAAAGCAAAAACCCACAGATGCATTCTGTCCAAAGAGAACAGCAGAATGATGAAGAAAACAAAATCAGCCACAACCCAAAATCACATTGCTGCCCTCTTTACACAACAGGAAACTGCCAGGGTTTCTCCATGATGGGTGCCCTGCAGTTTAGCACCATACGCGTAACCGCCATGCTGCGGCCTAGCACCGTACACATTCCTGCCATGCTTGCTGTTCTCTGTGCAGTGCCTCAAATAAAACTGTTACTTGCTACTTCTAAAAAGAGAATTCTTTCCGTAACATGCCCAAACCCCCACAAGACACTTGTTTGTGTGTTTGTTTGTTTGTTTAAGTTTCTCTGATCGAGTTTGGGAGGGGTGTAAGGCAGGAGACTGATGATCGAACTTCTTAAAAGTCTGTTACAGATAATAGATATCTATACACAATGATAAAATTTGTAATGTTTAGATGACAGCGTCAGTGTGTTCAGGCATAGCTTAGCAGATGAGATGCTATTCCTCTGTGTGGTCTTGACAATAGCCTACAGTGATGACTGTAGTGCAACTACAAAGAAACTTACCATGTTTATGGATAAAGGCCAGCCCCTGCAGTATTTGATACATAATATTTCTGATGACAGATTCAGGGAACAGTTTGTTTCTGGAAGAAAAATGAATAACCTGTTAACCGACCAAAAATGAAGAAGGTTCTCCTGTTGCCTTGTAGCCTCTGCTGGCTAAAGGTATAATTAGTAGAATTGTGTTAAAATACTGTACGTTTAAAATGTGAAAATAGCATTTTTTTATTTTGATGTTTCAGAAAACCACAAATCCAACAGCGAATGTCCTATACAAATATTCAAGAGTTAAAATCTAAACTGTCCCAATAAGAGCAAAATACACTGGAAAACTATCAGTATCAAAAAACAGTTACATAGACTTTGAGAAGCAGGGCCTGCATGTCTTGTCTTTGTTGTTGTTTTGAGATAGGGTCTTGCTGTATGGCTGAGGCTGGCCTTGAACTTACCAATCCCCCCAGTGTCAGGATTACAAGTTTGTACTACTATGTCCCACCATGCTTCAGTTTTACATTGCATATTGGTAAAAATACAGTTAAGAGCTAACTATGAGCCCTGTTTAGTTTTTCTAGCAGCTACATTTAATAAAAAGGAAACATTAAACTTAATGAAAAATTTTATTTTTAAGTTTATGTTGACTGATGCATGAATATAAAAAAATGTACATTTATATAAAAATAGCATATAAAAATACATATAATGTGATATTGTATATTTTTATAATGTATATACTATGTAATGTTTAAATTGGGGTAAATATTTATGTTTCAAACACTTATCATTTCTTTATGGTAAAAACTTCAAGATTATTTCTTCTACCTTTCAAACCGTGCAATTTGTAATCGTTACCTACAGCCACCTATTATTATACCATGGAAACTCCAGGACTTTTTACTTCTTAGTATCCACTCTAGCCTTCCACTTAGTTATAAAATGCATTTATTTAAACATACAAAGAATACAAAGCTGTTGTTACTGCCATCATTCTTAGGCTTGAGAGACCTGGTCTTATGAATGAAGCCCAGGCTATCCTTGAAGATGCTACATAGCTGAAGATGACTCTGCATCTTCTGGTCTTCCTTCCTCCACCTCCCAAGTGATGGGATTACAGGAGTGAAGCTACCATGCCTGGCTAATATAAAAATGGCTAATAATTTTTTATGCTAAGCTTCTAAGCTTGGTATGTAATTTATTTTTCATTATAGCATAGTTCAATTCAATCATTTTAAGGGCTTGAAAGCCACACGAGACCAGTGGCTACCACCTTAGACATGGTATTTAAATTATATCCATGGTGATGTCCCAATGAGAATTAAATTAAGGGTGCAAAAATTAATTTCTGTCAGACTACCAACTAAAATTATCAACAACTGAGAATTAAAGTGAGAATTTCCTTCAGGCTGGTAACATTAAGCTTTATCACTCATGTGTCTGTCTCTAATGAATGAGTTCATCAGATCCTCTGGGTGGGGACAGGGTGGATTACGAATGTGCGTATTTACTTGTTTCTTTGAAACAGGGTCTCCCACTGAATCAGGAGCTCACTCATTGGTCAGACTGTCTGACAGATGAGGTCCAGGGCTCCATCTGTCTCCCTTCTCCCATGTTGTGGTTACAGCCATCCACCTGGCTTTTCTATGCTGTTCCTGAGGATCAGAACTGGGGTCTTATGCTTGTCCAGAGGGCAGTTCACTGACTGAACCATTTCCCCAGCTCCTGTCTCATCATTTTTTTGAAAGCCACTTTATTCTTCATTTATTCACATCTCTTTCAGAAGATGCTTGAAAGGACAGCGAAGACAATGTCTTCATTTTGCCGAAAGCCAGATTTTGAACATAAGACTCCTGATTCCCTTCATTCAAAAGGATGGATACGATGGTGGCTGGAATGCCTCAATGATTAAAAGCACTGGTTACTTTTCCAAAGGATCCAGGTTCAAGTCCCAGCACTCACATGGCAGCTCACAGCTCCAGTCCCAGAGGATCTGACACCCTCTTCTGGCCTCCTTGGGCATTGCATACACATGGTATACAGACATATATACTAGCCAACCCCCCTTGCCCCACCACACACACACACACACACACACACACACACACACACACACACACACACACACACACACACTAAATAAACAAATACATAAAAATTAAAAACAAAAACAAAAAGATGAATACCTTAGCTGCTAAAGAATTACAGTGGAAGAGTGGTAGCGATGTCATCGCTGGTTCTTCAGTGTCAAATGCTACCATTTGCTGAAATAACTATCAGTTCATTTAAATCTGACTTAGATTTAAACCAGCATATCATCAAGTATGACACACTGAAAGGATCCAAGGAACTCATGGGAAAAAATAATGGAGAAAATATAGTTTTCATAAAATAAAGACATACCTGTCTTTCATTAGCTGATAGAGGTTTTCTTTCATATATTCAAATATAAAATAAAGATGGTCATTTTCTCTGATAACTTCTTTTAGTTTAATCACATTGGCATGATTGAGTTTCTTCAGGGACTGTGAAACAGAAGAGAAGCACCATTCTTAAATTTATACAAGTCTGCAGACCTTGTCTGTGCATGTTAGTTCCCCCAGGTAACTGTCCATTTCTCTTAGATTCATTAAAAAAAATTACATGCTAATATGCACATAATTTTAAAAGATCTTGGAGCATTAATTTAAAGCAAATGATTTAAGCAATGAGTATTAAGTGAAAGGGGCAACCAGCTGACTGGAGTGTTAACCGGCCAATTGCCCTCTTCATTTTCCAAAGAAGGTCTAACTTTTTCTTTCTGCCTTAACCATGTCAGACTCCATGCAAAGTATCAAAAAACTCACCAAGCCACACAGCAGGAAACACAAGAGAACGGTACGTCATGGTTTGAGAGTGTGAGTTTTAAAGTCATTTACATAGAGGGAGGCCTGGCTGATTTCTGTTCCGTACTAACACGGAAACAAGGAGGAATGCAAAGGACTTCAGACTTAAGGAGTGGAAAGGAAGGGGGCAGATGCAGTTACCTTTAGTTAGGAAGCATTTGGAAGAGCCTAAAACACTGATTCTCAACCCATGGGTCACGGATCTGAGATCCTGAATATTGGATAATTTACAGTATGAATCTTAACAGTAGCAAAATTACAGTTACAAAGAAGCAATGAAAATAATTTCATGGTTAGAGTCACGGCATGAGGAAGTGTATTAAAGGGTTACAGCATTACAAAGATTGAGAACCACTGCTCTAGAATAAATCTTAGCTGCTGGCCTTGGATATGGTGTACTGTTGGGAGCCTTGGCTTCTTTACCTTAACTTCTCGCAAGTTCATACACTCATCCCAAGAATAAAACTTTCTCTTCATCCTGAAATAAATGAGGAAACACTTAGTGTTCAGGACTGAAGGCTCCGAGAAACCACTCCCACCACCTCTGGTGTTCCTGATTATGGCTTCACTTTGGGGACCAATCTTCCTCCACAGGAGGAAATCCCCTCCTTTCTGCTCACAACTCATGGTGCCAGGTCTGAGCTCAGGTGTGCTGTGTCCAGCCCGCCATTCTGCTTCAACACAAGCAAGACTGCCCCGAAGATTCCCTTCTCAGGGAGTTCCTAGCTGGTTTTTTTTTGCTTTTGTTTTTTAAGTCAGTTTAGCTGTGATTTTCCTTTTAAAAATCCCCCATGCAGAATTCCTTTCTGTGACTTAAAGATAAACACTATACTTCAGAAGTGGGATAGGGTGAGAATTACAAAGTTTGGTAGCAAATTCATGGAAGGACTTAAGATAACAACTTTTACATGACTACTTTGTCTTTGAGTCCATGAAATAATTTAAATCGGGGAAAGAAAGGAAAACAAACAAACAAAAAACCAACCAAACCCACAAGATCCAGACTTAGAATGGTTCTCTCTTTTCTTCTTTCCTTGTGGGGTCAGGGGTGTGGGTGGGGACTGAGCCTGGAGCCTTTCTCTTATTCTTCCTTTACTTAGCCTCTTCCCCACTACACACAGTAGAACTCTATTTAGCATAATAAACTGTACTACTCATACAACAAATAGATCCATATGAATGGATTTTTAGTCACCAAAAGGAACAGGAGACAAGAACAACTATGTGCCAGGTGTGGAGGTTTACACCAGCGCTCAGAGGACAGAGGCAGGCAGACTTTGTGAGTTTGAGGCCAGCCTGGTCTACATAGTGAGTTCTGGACAGTCAGGGCTACATGGTGAGACCTTGTCTCAAAACCAAATAACCCTCCCCCAAACCAAACCAAACCAAACCAAACCAAACCAAACCACCCAATTATGTCCATGACTTAGTTGTATGACTTCTGCAATAACTAATCTTGTTGTCAATTTAACTGGCTTTAGAATCACCAAGGAAACATGCCTCTGGGTGCATGGATATGAGGATGTTTCCAGGAGAGTTTAACTGGAGAGGGGAAAAAACATCCTGGATGTGGGTGGCCCCAACCTACAGGCTGGGATCCTGGGCTGAGAGAAGGAAGCGTGGTGAGCTGAGTGCCAGAATTCATCTCCCTCTACTTCATAATAGCCGAGGTCACGTGACCAGCCTGTCACCAGGCCTCCGCTGCTATGAAGGATTGTGCCCCTTCTCCAATCATGAGGCACAAATATGCCTTTCCTCCCTTAGCTGCCTTTGTCTAGCATTTTGTCACAGAAAAGAAGAAATGATACAATTTCCTATTGGTGACTTATAGCTCACCAGGAAGCCCAGAGTTACCAAGTAGGCTAATTTCTACACTGCATAGAGGCCTCATAGAGTTACAGTGCACACGTGAAGAATCGGGAAAGGCACTGACAGCTGGAGGAGGTGGAGATGTGGGCTGTGGAACTGAACAGCCTGGGTGCAGTCCTGCTCGTGGATGTATGGCTGTCAATAGCCTCTCTGTGGCTCAAGTGCCTTTCCATGAAGTACACACTATTTACTACAAAGCATATTGGAAAATTAGTGGATATCCTTATGTTTTTATGAGTGCGCCACCTGATAGATTAAAGTCTCTTTATTCAAGAAAACACCAGGGCAAAACGCAGGCCAGAGCGAGGTTACAGGAACCCAGCAAGCGTGGCCAGAACAAAAGGGGCTCGGGTCTCCACGAGCTGTCTTTAAGAAGCCTCCCTTACGTCACCTTGGCTTTCCTACACCACGCCCTTATGGGCGAGTCCTGGGTCCACCTGGTACCTGTCCCAGGGCGGGGCTAGGGTGTCTCCCTACAGACCCATCATGAGACATCAAGGGTATCACTGCTATTATTTTTAAAGTAGCCTTACGGAATCAGAATTTCATTTAGAGTCATTCAGACTATAAGGAAGCTTATGAAGTAGCTTGGTGAGGCTCGGGCCTTACCCAAAGGTACTTTTCAATGCAATGGGTTTCTAGAAAGTTGTGTCTTCCCTAAAGATAAATGTAACATAATGGCTTTAAAGTAAAAGTCAATTCAAATAAAGCCATATAAGAAAACTACTTTAATAAAATGATCACACTCGTTCCAAAGTGTACACATGAGATGCTGATTCTTTAAAAATTGATTTCAGAATTTTAAAAGCATCTGGCCTTGAGAATGGTGAGATAGCATATCCCATTTCAGAATTTGACATCGTAAGTCCAACCTTATCTTGAAGCCAACTTTTTAAAGAAGCAGTAAGTTCTAGTTTGTTTCCCGTGTTTAAAATTGAGAAACATTCACTACTTCCAGTTTCATCCAAGGTGTATCAGGCATAAAATTAGAGCACTGAGCCTTACGCCATTTACTAAGGTACCTGAATAAGGTAGACCATTAAAGTAACAGTGACCTTTTCCTCCACGTAAGTATACTCCTAGGTAATTTTCTGTTTCCTAGACCAGTGTTTCTCATCAGCTAAACTACTTTGTGGTCTGAACCGAAACTCTCTCCCTGGTGCTAGCTACAGGCTCTCAAGCAAGCAAAGGAAAACAAACACTCAACATTGACACGGAAACTCGGCAGGGCCGTGCACACACCTCTTGATTGCCACCAGCTCCCCGGATTCGTTACTCTTGCCCATAAGCACACTTCCGTATGTGCCGTCCCCCAGCTGCCTCATAGTTGTGTATCGGTTCATATTGGGAAAAGGTAATGCAGCAGGGGTTGTTCACGGAGATATCTTCTTGTGGAATAGAAATCTAAATACTTCTTTATTTGTGGTCCTTTTCCTTCTTGCTGCTACACTGGTGACAGGCTTGTCATCATTAAGTAGGCCTCTTCCTCGAGATCAGGTAGGCTCATGAGATACAGCGATGAGGAATCTGGCAAAGAGACACTGTTTCCATTCTTATGGACACCCTGTGGAAAACCATACCGGAAATGTTTTCGTTAGAGTCCCTACTACACATTTACTGACACGCGAGACATAGAAAAATTAGAGCTGACAAAGAGGCCATTGTTAGAGGTCATTTGTGCTGTGTGGAAAAGGAAGTCTACACACGACAGACTCACAGGCAGCTTGGTGACTCCTGTCCCTGCACTGGGCCGTCTATCCGGGGTTGTTCATGCTTGTGTGACTCTCTTTTCACTGGCTATAATCTATGTTGTTCCAAAGGAGCCTGGGAAAATCAGACATCTAAACCGCATCCATCCTTTGAAGTAATTTTTGTATCATTTAATTTAGCCTGTTAAATTTAGATGATACTATTTACTTAAAAATTTCCAGTAGACTACAACTGTCTAAATTAGGTAAGGCAAACATAAAACAAGCGAGTTTTATATGAAGAGAATAGTAACATGAAGGAACTTCTTGCTTTATTTAAATAATATGCTACTTTCTCTTTACATTAAACCAAGAAAAACATTCATGCAAAGAAATAAGAGCCAGGTGGTGGTGACGCACATCTTTAATCCCAGCACTTGGGAGGCAGACCAGGTAGGTGCATCTCTGTGAGTTTGAGGCCAGCCTGGTCTACAGAGTGAGTTTCTGGATAGTCAGGGCTGCACTGAGAAACCCTGTCTCGAAAAACAAACAAACAAACAAAAGGAAATGCACACTTCTTTGCATACATGTATTTGAGGCAGGCGGGCATAGACAGTTTAGCCTGGGACTCTATTTGGATTTCGCGTTGGGTAACGCACACACACCCTCTTAATAATGCACTCAGCAGCCCAGGTCCTTCATCTGCATGTTCGATGCACACACACCCCTCTCCCAATAATGAACCTAGCAGACTCAGAGCCCCCTTGGGCTCCCACTGTACCAGGCTGGCTACATTTATTCCCATTTCTGCACAATGGTATAGACTTCTCCACCCCTAGTAAGGATCAAATTGAACAGTTTCAGTTTAACTATATTCCCAACATAAATCCGGTATAAGGACAAGAAGGGCTGTCCTTATACCTGAAGTGTAGCCTGAAGTGGTGTGCATGCACAGTGAGCCAAAACTGTGGCCTCAAGGGAACTTTTAGGGCAAATCCACTATTTACCATCTTATGCCTCTGCATAATTAGGCATGTATGTGTGGTAGTTTGAATGGAATTGGTCCCCATAATCTCATAGGGAGTGAGGGGCACTATTAGGAGGTGTGGCCTTGTTAGAGGAAGTGTGTCACTGTGGGGGTGGGCTTTGCTCAGGATACCTCCCAGTGAGAAGGGGGGGCACCACGATTAAAATGGACTGAACCTCTGAAACTGTAAGCAAGCCACCCCAATTAAATGTTTTATTTATAAGAGATTCTGTGGTCCTGGTGTCTCTTCATAGCAATAGAAACCCTAACTAAGACAGTATGTGATTAAAATAAGAAACACTGTGTCGAGGGGCAGACACAATAGGAAAAGTGAATACATTATCCAATCCGTCAATCAAAACTGAGACCCATGCAGATGTTGCCCCCTCAGTAACCAGCTCTTCCTCCTCTTGAGCCCCACACAATCTGAGCAATTTGAGCCCTCGAGCACTCCCATTCGCCTGGCTCGCTATTAACCTTGATGGTGGATCCCTCTCTCACCTGACCTCTCTGTTTGCTCTCAGCAAAGGGTCCTTGCGATGTTTGCAAATCTGTGTGAGCCCTTCCTTTCCACAGAACCAGGGAACACACAGCCTGGACCCCAACCACCAATAGCATGTACATGTGCATAGTACATGTGTTCACTTGGGAATACACGAGATTAGATTTGATGGAGACCAATTACAGTTGATTTTACAGGAGACACACCAGTGGAAAGCTGCCTCTCACTGAATTATTGAGTCAGAATTAGAGGAAAGGATTGAGGGTTGGGGCTGGGGATACAGCTCAGTTGGCAGAGTGCCTGCCTAGCACATACAGAGCTCTGGGCTGGATTCCCCAGTACCAGCTGGAGGCTGATACCTGGAATCCCAGCACTCAGGAAGTGGAAACAAGAGGATCAGAAGTTCAAGGTCATCCTCCACTATACAGCAAGTTTGAGGACAGCCTGGAACATAGGGAGACCCCCATCTCCAAACAAACAAACAAACAAACAAGAGGACTAAGGCTTGAATCTTCGTCTGCAAACAAAGTCTCAAATAATGGTTTGAAAAACTTTCAATGGACAGGAACTTAGTTTGTGTAACTAAAAGGTCAGTCAAGCTATAAAATACCATGAGACTATGAATACATACCTTTAAAATTATTTATTATGGGTTTATTAGATAACAGTAGGTGCAGGTGATTGCTACCAAGCCCCACGACACTGAGTCAATCCCCGGGACCCACATTAGTGGAAGGAGAGAAATGACCCCTACAAGGTATACATACATACACACACACAAATGTAATAAAACTATTTGTGGTACAGGACAGTAAACTTATGGTCTAGTACATGCTAGGCAAACACTCTACAAATGATCCACACCCTTAGCCCTTAATATGTATTTTCAAACACTTTGAACTTCTTCCACAAACACACCAGCTTTGTAGTTATTACAAAATAAAAGAAAAGGAAGAAAAAAGGAAAGAAAGAAATGTCACTGACAGACACATGCTCTCTCACAACTGAAAGCTGGGCAAAACAACTAACAACAAATATTTCTTCATGATCACAATTACTCTGTGTCCTAATGCCACCCATGACTGGTGCTAAGATGGCCTGGGTAAAGTGAACTTCCTGGGGAGATCAGCTCTATTGAATTACTGACACAGTGGGCTTAAGTAGAACCTGTCAAACAGAAATCCCTGTTCACTTCTTTGCACAACAAAAACCCCAGGAACCCTTCTGGAAAGGGAGGGAACTCAATTGCTTGAGACTTCCCATCTTCCAGGTATCCAAGCCACAGAACAAAATCCCCGAAGTCCCTGAAAGTCATTATGTCCTTCATCGAAGGCAAGCGCTTTCCTCTAAATGACTGCTAATCTGCCTTGAAACTAGTATAGTCTGTACCTTAACCAAAAATAGGATTAACACAGGGCAGGAGAGCCCACTTTAACTCTTCCTGTACAGAATCTGACAGCACCCCTTGACTGGCCACAGCCCATGTGGTGGAAGAGGCCGCACACTCCAGACCCTGCTTGGTCACGTGACTTGTTCTGCCAATAAACTATGAACAGAAGCACTGTGGTCAGGAATGTGCGGTGTCCCAGCGGGCTGCTGTTCAGCCTGGGTCCTGGGATGCAGAAGATCAGTAGAATTGGGACAGTGCTAGACCGAGTGCAGCTTGTCAGGGATGGGAGGGAGAAACAGAGCTTTGCAGTTGCATCATTTGTCACTAGAGCAACGGTGACCAACACAGAATCCAGAATCACTATTGCCTTTTACTCCATTGACTAATTAATAGATACACTAGTATCAAAGCACTCTCAGATAACATAATTGGTGTTAAACAGGAGGCGATGACATACATCAATAACAGAGTGACTGTGGAAACCCTATGGAAGCCGTGTCAAGCCAAGTATCCTGGAAGCAGAGAAGCCTAACGTGACCAGTGCCCAGTTATTTCTGCTTTTTGTCTCTGAAACTTACTATGTAGATCAGGCTAGCTTCCAATTTACCAGCAATCCTCTTGCCTATGCCTCCTGGGATCACAGGTGTGTAAATGCCCAAGTCCAGCCATCTTGACTTTTCTGGTAACAACAGTGAATGTGTAACACATGTTAACTTTTCAGAGCTTCAGAGCACTGTTACCCAGGTCCCCTGTGGAGATGCAATCCAAGGACAGGATCGCCCCTTCTCTCTGAGCATCAGTAGAGGTGAGAACTCTCTAGTGACTGGCCGCTTTGCTTTTTTGATTTTGAGCTTTAACCCCAATATCTGTCTCAGGGTTTTTATTATTTGTGCTACATCCCCCAACAGTTCTGTAATGCAAACAGGGCAGTTGATACATCTAGGAAGCTTGAATACCTTGTCCCACATCACAGGGAAGGCTGGCCCAAGAACCACAGGTCCCCCCCCCCCACTAACCATGTACAGAACTCTCTGAATGATTGAGTGTCTGCACCAAACTCAGAGAGCTGAGACCACAGATTCGTCTGTGCCGAGCTTTAACCCCACCTTACAACCCCAGGGCTCTCTCCAAACACACATGCGGGGTGCACACATGGGCCTTTTTAGTGAAACACCTAAGGTTAACAAACATATATTACAGCTCCATACCCATCCTGAAGATGAACACCATACTTCTGCGAGTCCTAGCTTGATACTCTGTAGTTCACAAAGGAATTAATCTCAGATCTGGGGACTGTACTTGAGTTTTCATTGTTACTTTAATAACTGATGTTTACTTTAAAACTATTATTTGAAAACAATTCAGGCCGTGTGGTGTAGCACACATCTTTAATCCCAGTATTTGGGAGGCAGAGGCATTCGGATCTCTGTGAGTTCAAGGCCAGGGTGGTCTACAAAGCGAGTTCCATGAGTTCCAAGACAGCCAGGGCTACAGACAGGGTTTTTCCTGTCTGGAAAAACCAATAAATAAATTCAGAAACTGAATTGGTTTATATCACTTTTTTTAAAATTTCAAAATACAGAAATGTATTGAAACAATCCAAGGGGCAGACCAGACCAGGTGTTCTCCTAAGAATGTGTAGGACCAGAGTGATTTGGATTTTAAATGTTTCTGAACTTTGGAATATTTACATATATACATTGAAGAAGCTTAAGGATGGGACCCAATTCTAAACC